TACTTTAAATCATTTCAATCCAAAAATATTTTTGGATATTTATTATTTGTAATGCACTATCATAGAGAATACAAAAAGAAAGGAAGGAAAGAGGGAGAGAGAACAGAAAGAAGGAAAAAAATCACAGTCTCTGCTCTTATGATACTTATAATCTTAGAGAAGATACAACTTAAACTCCCTAAACTAGAGAAAACATAAGACATTATTTATATACACCATCAAAGAAGAGTAAGTACGTAAGAGTGTTGAAAAAAGGAATGGGCATGGTGACACACGTATGCAATTCCAGAGGCTTGGGAGGCTGAGGCAGGAGAATCACAAATTCAAGGCCAGCCTCAGCAACTTGGTGAGACCCTGTCTTAAAATTAAAAAATAAAAGGGCTGGGGATGTTGCTCAGTGGTTAAGCACCCCTGAGTTCAATCCCGGGTACCAAAAACAAGAATGTAGAAAAGAGGAATGATGGGTCCTAATGGATAGGGCAATGCAAACTAGGAGATGGTTTTGCTGAGTGACACCTAGGTGTTTTTTCTTGTTGTTTTTTGATGATGTTGAGAGTTGACCCAGGACCTGGTGCATGCTGGGCAAGTACTCTGCTACAGGAGATTAGAGGATTTACCCAAAGATCTCACACATCCTGAGATGGATTGGTTTTAAAGACGAAAAAAGATCTTAGCAGAGGTAGATCAGAAGTTCTGGGTGGAGAATGAAGCACGAAAAAACAAAGGTATGAGATGGAAAAGTGCCTTGCATATCTAGGATAACGACTCCAAAGTGATACAACTCTTTTATGTCTACATAAAGGGAAATAGCTGAAAAATGAAGCCAGAAAATGAGGCAAGTGCCAGATTATTAAAAACACTTGAATATCATTAAAGAGAAGGCAGTCATAAGAGTCCTTGAAAAATTTTGAGCATATGTGTGAAATATCTAGGGAATACGATATCTCAAGTACTAACTTGCCAATTCTGTTCTCTCAAACACTTCTACTTTAATGTTACCTACATCTGGAAATCTGCCTTTACATCTTACATTCAATGGCAGTGAGAAATTTCTACTCCTCTACCCACTCTAGCATCAGATAAGTAGATTCCTTTAAAAACCCTGTGTATGTGTTTGTCTGGTTCAACAACCATAAACCCTCTAGAGAAAAAATAGTATCTTGCGATTTTTTTTAAAAAATTTAAAAAATTTGAGCTTTACCTTAGCGATCACAGTATATATTAAAAAAATGTTGAGCAGTTATAAATAAAATACATGAGATACAACTTATAACATTATTTTGCTCTTTTGAGAGTTTAATCATTAGTGTTTTCTTATAACTCTTTAAGTATTTTCTGCTTCAGGTCTTTTAGGTATATTGCCAACTAGGATTTAAATTAAAATAAACATGGAGGGGCTGGGGTTGTGGCTCAGTGTTAGAGCGCTTGCCTAGCATGTGTGAGGCAATAGGTTCGATCCCTGGCATCACATACAAATAAACAAATAAAATAAAGGTATTGTGGTCATCTATAACTACAAAAATGTTTTTTTAAAAAAATGAAACCACAAAAAACTTCCATATCTCTCCTCTCTCATTGGTATAAACCTTCTTATGCAATGTATAGGATGGTAGGGTGCCCATCTGGGATAGTCATAGCCTGATATATACCTAGGCCATAAGAGCCACCTTCAGCTAGAGAAATCCTCCAGCCTACAACTATAATAATTTTAGTTAAATACTACTAATTCCACCTCTAAATATCCACAAAGCCTAGTTTCTCATCTTCCTTCTGACTGGAACCATGTTGTTTTGTCCTTCAAAAATTTCGTACCTGGGTTATTTCATAGCATCTAGCTTATCTCCCTGCTTCTAGTCTTTATACTATGGTCAGAATTATGTGGAAAACACAAATCCTTTCACATCCCATTCAGCTTAAAAGTTTTATGTACCTCATAATAGCTACAGTACACAAATTCTGAATTTCTTACATAAAACTCCTTAACATCTTAAACCTTATCTTTTGCTATTCATTCATTCATCCAGTATTTACTATTTATTATGTGCCATAAGTATTCCAGATATGTGTGTGCGTGAACTAAATAACATGAACCAAAAACTAAAGCCAAAAAACAATCACCAAAAAATTCTGTTCTCTTTAACTGCAGCAGGGAGGGGCTGGCAATAAATACATGTAAACTATACAGTTTAACAGGAGGTGATATGAAGAAAATACAGGTACAGAAGGAGGTAGGGTAGCCAAAGTAGGTCTTAGTAAAAAGATGTATTTAAGAAGAGACTTGGAAAGTGAGGATCCATGCAGTCATTTGGAGAAAGGCTGCTCCGGGCAGAAAAGAAAAGCCACTGCAAAGGATCCAATTAAAACCATGTCTAGAGTGCTCAAGGACATTAGGAGATTAGAACACAGTGAAGGAGAAGGAGGGAAAAGGGGGAGGAAAAGTATAGGCAGTGGTAGTGTGACCATCCAGGCCCTGCTGACCATTATTACAAAGACCTGGATTTTACACATAAGCACTGCAAATGATATGAGGAGAGGAATGGCATGATCTGACTGATTTTAAACAACTGATCCTCCTCTGAGTACTGCGCAGAGAATAGGCTATTGAGGGACAAAGAGAGGAGTAGAAACTCTGGTGAAGGTGACTGTAGTAATCCATGATAAATAATGGAAGCACCTGTGGGTTGTAAGAAACTACCAGACTCCAAAGTGTAATATTTTGAAAGTATAGTCAATGAGATTTTTCTGACACACTGAAAATGGGATAAGAGAGAAGTCAAGATGTGACCAAGGTTTTCTGACTGTGGAAATGAGAGGACAGACTTGGAATTATCTGAGATGAGAGACTGTTTGTGATCAGGTTTTGGTGGGGCAGATCTGGAGTTCGGTTACTGACATAGTTGAACTGCTTATTGGACATTCATCCAGGTTTTCATATACATGTTTAGCATTCAAGAGAGAAACCTGGGCTGAAGCTTCTGTTGTCTTTTACAAATGCTGCATTCCAGATTTACACAATGACACATATCCCTGAACTATTATTCTTCATATCATGTCTTTGTGTCTGCATGTTGTTTTATTTTTATTTTTTTAATACCTTTATTTTGCTTATTCATTTTTATGTGGTGCTGAGGATCAAACCCAGTGCCTCACATGTGCAAGGCAAGTACTCTACTACTGTGCCATAACCGCAGCCCCTTCATGTTGTTTTACATTAAATATTCTTTTTTTTTTTTAAAGAGAGAGTGAGAGAGGGAGGGAGGGAGAGAGAGAGAGAGAGAGAGAGAGAGAGAGAGAGAGAGAGARTTTTTTAATATTTATTTTTTAGTTATCGGCGGACACAACATCTTTGTTGGTATGTGGTGCTGAGGATCGAACCCGGGTCGCACGCATGCAAGGCGAGCGCGCTACCGCTTGAGCCACATCCCCAGCCCCTACATTAAATATTCTTTACCCCTGTTTTTTCATGTGGTTAAAAAAAAATCTCAGCCTTCAAGACTGATGTCATCATCTATCATCTACTTCATGAAACTCAGATGGTCATCACCTCCTGAATCACCCTGCTTCCTTTTCTAAGTCACTTTGAGGAAGGACTAAAATATATAATGGTTGGACTTCTAGCACACTTAAAAGGCTGAATTATTTTCATTTCCATTTTAGTAAGAAAAAAGCAGCCATTTTACAAACACAGCAGGTTATTTGCCTGCTGTCATCATCAGAAATCTTTAGAAACCCTTTAAAAGAAATGAAGATCACAGAAACACATATTGGCAAGCAGCTCAGTAACCACATTTTGTGGGTTTTTTCCTATTTCAGTAGTTATTTGAAGATGACAAGTCTTCAAAAAGTATCATATGATAAACTTTACCAAAACAAAGAATGAAACATATTTTGTTTTCCAAAGCTATTTTCTGTTATAAAATGTTTCATTTTGATTGTCATCCTTTTTCATTTGCTCTGGGAAAGCATTTAAATTAGAAGAATAATTAGATAAGAAACCAGTCTCTCTGTGCCATTCCCAGGAGACACAGTTCAATCTAATTGAGAAAAGGGGGGAAATTTAAAAGATGATGTAAAATTTTAGACATGATCAGGTTCATCAACCCATCCTCTTTCATAAATGAAAATGCTGACATCCAAGAGGCTGCTGCTGCCACTGAGCAGGATGCTCAACCACCAAACAGATGGTGCAGCTCAGTCCACTGAAGTGGAGGCTCTGCCAGGGCAGAGACTATTGGCTGTTCGGTGCACTACTGTTTCTCCATCTCCTAACTAAGAAAGCACCTGGTAGACAGTAAATGCTGAATAAACAAACAAGTGAACTTATAATTCCAAATATCATGGGACTGACATACCACAAATAAAACTACAAAGCAGGTATATATAATACTTTTCAGGGTTTAGAAAATTGTTAACTATTTCAAAGTCTTAATACCCGAAATATTAAGAATCTGCAATCATCATCTTTAAACATAAATTACAAAATGCTACATACACACAAAAGTTGTGGGAAAGGATTCTGAAACAAAATCTCTTAACAGTACATAAGTTTGTTAAAAAAAAAGTTCTCTATAGATGAAGAAAAATGAATTATATACTTCAGCAACTATACTTGCTTTATACAGTATGGTATCTAGATATATATATTTATCTGTGTGTATATATGTGTATGTGTATATATCTATACATACATACTAGGAAAATTATAGCCTTAGAAAATAAAATAGTGCAAAAGACTTATTACATGTCTTTAGAGAATCAGAATTTAAAAGGACAACGAGAAAAAAAACTCTGATTCCATAATATATTAACACAGTAGCTTAAAGTACCTCAAACAAACAACCCAGGTTCTGGAAGTTCCCTAGTACCAAAAACACTCTTATTTGGTTTTAAAACCAAACAGTCTTTGAAGCAAACATCTGCAACAATAATTGTGGTTTTCATGTAGTCAGAAGGCAATCTAAACATTTTAAATTGAATCATTTCAAGTTACAAAACACTACCTCTTCAATCTCATGTAGTTTTCACTGGCAGCAGGTCGGCATTCGGCTCTTTGTACCACTATTCCTTCCAGTGAGAGTTTATCTTGAATGAAAGGGGAAAAAAATGTATTCAGAGATAACATTCATCATTTTCAATGATGTAATATAAAATCAAATATAATTCACAGTAAAAATCAGGGAAACTATAAAGTTTATAGCCGTATCACTAGTTAGAATAGAGAAAAACCTTATTTTAGCTAGTAGGAAACTTGACTCATGTCACATTTGTTTCTTGAGCTGCTGTAGCCCCTTGCCAATAACAGCTTTTATAAACTTAGTTCTTTCTAAATAAAGTGACTTAAAAGGGCATAAAATCAAATAAAAACTTTTTGAAGGGCAGGGAGGCTATTATCTTTGACAAAGAAGTAACTTGTGTAAAAACTGCTAGTCTAAACCACTATATCAAAGGTGTGTGTGTGTGTGTGTGTGTGTGTGTGCGCGCGCGGGAGCATGCACGCATGCACATAGGTGCATGTGTGCACCATGTGAAAATAAAATGAAATTCTAAAATGAGCTGTGTCTAGAAAGGCCGGTCTGCAATATACTGTAACAGTGGGCGGGTCACTGCCTAGGTTATATTGTGTACCAGTTTAGCCTGCCTGTTGCTCTGACTTCTTTTTCCCAGCAGAATTATAAATTTGAGTGTGGTCAAAAGTGAATCCGTTATGAATACTTGCCCAAAGAGAAAGGCAATTTCCTATACCACTAGTAATGCTTACAGTGATCCTGACATAGGGGCAGAGCTGGGATTGTAGCTCAGTGGCAGAGTGCTTGCCTCACATGTATGAGGCACTGGGTTCAATTCTCAGCATCATATAAAAATATAAAAATAAAATAAATAAAATAAATAAAGGTATTGTGTCCATCTACAACTAAAAAAAATCACATGGGGTAACAGGAAAAGGAAACAAGAGCTAGCACCTATGGGCAATCAGCATTTTTATACAGTCACAAGATAGTCCTTACCTATTATATAATATGTATATGAATGTCTCACTGACACCAGCTTTACTATAACCTGGAAATGTATGACCATGGTTACAAACAGTTTTGGTTCAATCATATTTCTATGAGAATTCACCTGGGTTTTAAGAAGAGATTCAGGAAATCCCCTGGCTAATCAGGAATGCATTTATGATTCATCACTTTAGCATGAATGACTTCTTTCATTCCACCAACATTAACTAAATGTTTACCACACAAAGGGAACCATCTAGGCATTGTAAAACCAATGATTAAGATACAGAACTGTCTTCAAGACACATACAATTCACTGAAGGAGACAGCACTGAACGAAATGTAGAATGCATACAGATTTACACCTGTGTGATTTTTATTAAAAGATCTTTCCTCTAGGGACTGTTCTTGATTTTTGTCTCCAAAATACAAGGGATTCTGTACTATAGCTCCTAAAAACTAATTGCTAATACACTGTGTGTATTCAATATTTCCAGGGTCTCTCAAGGCAACATATGCAATAAATCTCAAGTACAGGCTATGAGATGGCTGGAGAAAGCAATGACGAGCAGCAGCATGCCTACCTTATACCAAAACATGCCCGGAAGGAAATAATTAAAAAGCCATCAAATTTTTGTATTAAATTAAAAAACTTAAAAATAATTTCCTCTCATGAGTGAATTTAATAAGATTAAAATTTGAATTTTCTTTTAAAGCAAAAACAAATCTTATATTCAAGTTTGTCTCTTCACTGAAGCTGAAAGTTCTATTAAGAAAAAGTCTCAGGCATAAAAAAATATCACCAAGATTGGGAAAAATTTTAATGTAAAAGTGTATAAAATTTATGAGAAAAAAATCTAATATTGGGACATAAAGTAATATTTTAAAATACCACTGCTGAAAGTAATTTAATCACAAATCCAAGTATTTACTAATGTTGAATACTGAAAGAGCTATCTCTTAATACCACTTGTAAATGCTCCCCACTTATTCAGCAGTATCTACTCCAGGTGGACAGGCTGAATTTAATTTTTAGTTCAAGTTTTCTATAGCCAACCTTCTCTGTATGACACCTGAAAGGTAGAAAGCAGGTTCAAAGCACCTGCCCATTTCAATTTGATCACTACTCTCCTCGATATTCTTTAATCAGACCTTTACAGGTCACTCCTGTAAAGCAATAAAATTCATCTCCTCAAACCATAATTTTCTGTCCATCATATCTTCTTTTCAAATCTTAGCTAGCTTCCAACTGCTACTCAAGTAAAGAGGAAAGCCTTAATCATCAGCCATGAATTTTCTGACCAACTGGATGTTCTTAAATAACCTCACATCTGTTTGCTTTCCTTGCCCCTTCTCCCCTTTATAAACTTAAAAGGCCCATTTACTTATGATATAGCCCCTAAGTGTGATTTGCCTGCTCTTTTTTAAAAGCCAACACATACTTTCTAAAACCTACAGGAACAGATTCTCATATTTTTTTCACTAAACCATGCTATGCTTCTGTTTCAAAACATTGCTTAAGTTTCAAGGGAAACTTTTATTTTAAAAGCTCCCACTTGCATACCACTGCTGTTAATTATATACCCCATTCATTAATACAGGAACCTTACTTAAAACTACTTTGTTGGACCAATTTGAAAGACCATAAATATTTGAAAAATAATCCAGTTTATTCTCACACATTTATGAACTATTTCCCGAGTGCCTATTATGTAAAAGATCATTCAAAGCACATCAGAAGAAACAAAGATAAGCAAAACATGGCATTTGCCCTCAAGGAGTGCATAGCTGAGTATGGCCATTCTTAAACATTTATTCTCTGTAGCATATATCTTAAATAAACATAGCTTTAATTACCATTTCATGGCATATACACATATCAAAACATCGTGTTGACTATAAATGCATACAAGTTTTATTTGTCAATTACAAAAAAGCCCCACATACATAAATGAATAGATTTACATTTTTTAAAGTATAGAAATCCCAAAATAATTTTCACTTTTGTAAGTTTTAACTACCAATAGTTGGTAGTTTAAACTACCAATATCACATTAGCAAATAAGAAATTTTTGGAGAATGAGAGTGAAAAAGGCAAAAAGGTTTAGTGGTATTATGAAAATAGTTTTGATCTCATAGACCCCTTGAAAGGATCACAGGAACCCCTCTATCTAGCAGTTCCCAGCTACACTGTGAGTGCTATAGGTCTAAGTAATCACGAGACAGGTATATTTAATACAACAGAAACACTTTTGATACATCTCCATTTAATCAACTTCCAGATTAGCAAAGGCTCTCAATTCCCCACCATTAAATACAGTGACAGATGCCCACAACTCACTATACACTAGTGGGTAGCAGGTTCATCTCTAGTACTCCCACACACTTCTGCTCAAACTCTGCTAGAACTTGTTGCCGCTAGTTTTATAATTACACAATCTGATTATGTATTACATAAACTCAAATAATGGGTCTAAGAAGGGGAAGATGTTTCTATGAAAACTAGACTGAATGCATTGGTAAGACCTGATTAAAGGTAAGTTGTTAAAAAATACTGTTAAATTAGGTAAGGGTGAGACAACTGCAGACTGGAAGACAAGCACATAAATCTAGCAGGATTTGTGCATCAAATACACACACACATGTATGCACACACACACATACATAAAATACACACTTGTTTCCCAGGGTCTAAATTCTTAATCCTTTTTTGAAAGAAACTCAAACTGAAAAGTTAGCCAAATTATGGGTTTGATATCCAGAAGAAAGAAAGCAGGTGGTCAATAAGCATCCTATGTTCAAGACAAATGCCTTATCTTACCTGTGCATAGCAGCTAAATGTACATTTATAAGTTTTAAACTATTTGAAGCAGGTAGAAAAACATACTGATATCTTTTGTATATGTGTGTGGGGGGTGGGGGTAAGCAGGGAATGAATTCAAGGCCTCACGCATACAGAAAAATGCTCTATCACTAAGCTAAATCCTCAGTCTTTTTTAAATTTTATTTTAGACAGAATGCTATGTTGCCAAGGCTGGCCTCAGGCTTGTGATCCTCCTGCCTCAGCCTTCTGAGTAGCTGGGATTATAGGTGTGCACCACTGCATCTGGCTTGATAAAATTTTTAAATGATTTCTTACCTGTTAATTTAACTGACCAACTTCTAGTCCTTCCATATGACCTACAGGATTCTACTGTACAAAGGAAAATACAAGTTGAGATTCCAAGTGTTATAAAACCAAGACATGTAGAGGGCACTGGGATTAAAGACACGCATAAAGAGATTCTGTCTAGTTGGGGATCAAGAAGAGCTTTGATGGAGAAAGCTAAGTTTGTGTTGGACCTTAAAAACCAGGCAGGATTTAGATAAAGTGGTAGTGGTGGGGTTGAGAAGGAAGGGCACTGAAGGGGGTGGGAACAGCCTTAGCAATGGCCATACTTGGAATTTTCAACTAAGAGACTCATACCACAAGTCACTGGAAGGACATGGTCTTGCTAGCAATCTGAAGAGAAGCCATACAAGTTCATCCTACCGAAGACCTTGGAAATACTGTTCTTATCTTTCTTTCCCTAGGCATGGCTGATCATTTAACTCTTCTTTGGATTAGGGAAAAATTCTAGGATCCTTTCAAAATTCTTCTCCCACCCTAACTGCTTTTTGGGCCAGATTGGTTTGCTAATTGGTTTCTGCTACTTACAGCCAAGAGAAGCTAATAAGTATAAACGGGCAATGGTGTTTTATTTATATATATATCCTGCCACCTAGTTTCAGAGAAAAACGTGAGAGAAAAATTTAAAGGGTAAGTACACAAATACATCCTATAAAAAGAACTAGTAAGTTTCTAGTTAGGATTCTGTCACTAAATAGCAGTGTTACTTTGGAGAAGTTACTTCACATCTCTGAGTCTCACCATCTATATAATGAAGTTACTGAAATTTCTGACATCTCTTCTAGTGCCTATGAATGATAAATAAAAACCCTGGCCCTCCCCTTTAATTGGGAATATTTTATTATTTTATCAATGTTTAGTTTTCTTTTTCTAATATTTTCTAAAAGACCTAGGTTTAAGTAAAATTTCCTTGGGTA